TTATTCAGATCTTAGTCATTAGATATTTTTCTATGATTTTTACACTTAAAGATATGCAGGCAACATTTCATCGCTATTCCATCCGCTTTCACCCCAAATTGATGTTGTTCATCACTAGCTACTACTACATATACACAACCACCACCAGTCCAGAGACAGAGTCGGGATTTTTAATAAAGGGGTTCAAAATCTGTATAAATAGATAGCCGAAGGGGGTTTGATATCTACTATGTACGCATAAAACAATATTTTAATCAAGTGTAAATAATATAATTTTCCGTCGAAGGGGGTTCAGATGAACCCCTTCATACAAGGTAGCTCCGCCCCTGACCACCATGCACCAAACACAACCATCATATTTTCAGTTCAGGTGAAGGCTTCGCGAGATTTACCCGTGGAAATTGCGGCGATGTTGGTGATATTGTGACTTGCCTAAAGTCATGCAATGTTAAAAGTGATTGTGACGATGCTTGGGTTTGTAGTGATTGTGCACCGAATGCTTTCCCTGGTGGATACCATTGTGATGTGCTCACAGCTAATGGTCAAGGATATTATTCAACTATGTTACAAGCACGTTACAACAAGCAAGCTCTTTAATTATATTATATATATTGCAAATTAATATCAAGTTATGTTTGTGTATGTGTTGCTTCAAGAGTTCAATTATGTGAGTACGTACGTACTCTTGTTTTGTGTGTGTGTGTTGTAATAAGTGATTCGAATTTCTTTCTAAGAAAAAGAGATTTGGTTACACCTCTAGTTGGAGCTACTTGTATCATGATGTACTACCACCAATATATATTATATTGTGTATGATTGTTCTAGTTACGCTTTTCGTCCTAATTTATGTTTTTAATATATATGCAATTATGCATGTAGGTAGTTGGCGTAGCCATATGGTCGTAAGGGTGTTTAATTGGATATCTTTTGTCGATTTTTTTTTATATATATATATAAGTAATGATACACAAAATGATTGAATAACATATTTTGGACACCCTTAACAAAACCAGTTGATATTTCTGCACATTATTTGTGAAATTCCAAACTCTATGCATGTAGGTCTAAAATATGTTTTTATATTAATCTTCTGATTATATTAGGATATTAAGATATATATATATATATATATATATATATATATATATATATATATATA